AAAGAGCTTGCCCTAAATACAGGATACATAGGGGGATGTGATTGGCAGAATTGTGATTTGTGAAATTAATCTGGAAGTACCATATGAAATGAGTGGGAAACTCTTTTTAGGTCTTTGCAAGAAATCACAAGAAAGATCACAAGAACTTGAACTAAAATGTGAAAATAAGAATGGGAAAGAGGGATAAATCATAACAAGCAAAGAAACCAGAAAGAGAACTTGGTTGGAGAGATTGGATGAGGTCAAAGACAAATCCATGCATCTATGTCTGAAAGCTGGGAAAATGATGAGGCAATAGAGAAAACAGAGAACGGTTCGTTTTAGCTGGAAGCTGATGTTTGATCTTCAGTAAATCATGCATAGCAAATGTCAGTTTTCCAACATCTTTTCCATATTACACACACACACACCTCAGCATTGCCCTTTCCCTCCTTCTGCCTCCCCACCTTCTTCTTTTCCTTCTCCATCCTGCATTCCATTCACTTTCCCACCCTTTGCTCCATTTCTGCTGCTACTATTCCATTGGATCTCTTGTAGAAAAGGTTATCATGGCTCTTCCTGCACAAAACTCTGATGTATTCTTTCAGTTCTTTTCCTGATGGCCCCTCTTTGGCCTTTGGAATATCGCTTTCCTCTCAAAGCTCCCATTTTCCTTTGGTTTCTAGGACTGTATTCTCTCCTCTTTTTCTAGCTCAGTTTCTTTAGTTGTCCCCTCTTCTGCTCATCCCCAGCATGGTGATGATCCCAGACCCTGTTAATGGTCTCTTTTTACTGGACATTTCTTTGTCCAATCTGAAGCTACCACAGATGTTCTGAGGATGCTCATCTCAGTATTTCTACACAGGCCTTCTCTCCTGGATTCCTGACTGTTTTCCCAGCAGCACCTCCAAATCTGTTCTGTCCTTCCAAAGCAGAATCCTGACATCTCCCTCCAAATCCATCCTCTCTGGTCTTCTCCACTGCTACTGATGGCCAGAAATTAGGGGACTCCTCTTCCTCCCTCACTTCAGCCCCCTCTTGCATCTCTGTCACATCCACCTTATTCATATCCTCATGATTCCTCATGTGACAACTGCAGTAGTCCCCAGCCCCTCCTCGCTATCCCTTCAATTCAACCAATTCACCTTTGACAGATTTCTTTTTCTTGTCTTTTTTTTTTTTTTTTTTTGAGAGGTTTTTGCAAACAGGCCAACGACAGACAGAGACAGAGAGACAGAAAGCAAGAAATCACCCCCAGGGGGGATGGTCACGCTGCAATCTATTCTCCTCTTGAGATCTTGGTCATGCACGCACATGTGCCCGCGGTGATGTTTAAGCCACCGTGTCCGGGACGTGAACCGTGGTCAACTACGTGGGAGTCCAGCGACATAGCCATTACGCTAACTGCTGGTCCTGACAGATTTATTTTTCTAAAACATGTATTAATTATGTTATTTCACAGTTCCCAAGGATCTGATAGAATCCAGTGCCCCTGGGTTGAAGTTCAGTGTCTTCAAGCTGGATAAGTTGCCTATGAGATCATAAATGTCCGTTATCTGCCACCTCAGCCCCCAATCTGATCTACACCCACACTCCAATTCTACTGGAACTGACATCTCTGTTGTGCAACTCATGCCTTTGTTCATGCTCCTCGTGTTCCTTCCACCTGAAGCACCTCCCACCCAAACTTTACCTCCCTAAGTCCTTCCTCTAGCCCTCCAAATGACTTAAAACATGTTAAATCAATACCCCCTCTACTGGGAAAAATGTCTTTTCTAGTCCACCAGATCCTCTTTTCCCTCCCACTAGCTTCCTGGACCCTGACCGGGCATGTGTACACACACAATCCGTGTGTATCCACAGCCATGCCACTTCTTTGCTGTCATCATTTTGTCCTTTGTCACCCATTAGCCTAGCACCCTATCTGATACATAAGAAGTATTAGAGAAAGGCTGAACACATCAAAATCAAATGCCTCATATCTGAAAGTCTTTAAGATGCCATTTTGAAAGAGAGAAGGTAGGAAAAGATTATAAAGCCATTTTATGTTTATTATGAATTTAAAAGCCTCTTAGCCAAATGGATCTGGACGTGCTCCTCAACTCTGGGGATGACCAGAAAGGACTTCAGGATGTAACTCCTAAATATTTGAGATTCGCACAGTGAAGGATTTCAGAGATGTTTTCTGATGACCACGAAACAGAGAAAGATGAAAGTGAAAGATGGGATCAGAGTTAATTTTTCAGAACCCTACCACAGATAACCATAAAAATACATAGTTACCATTAAAGAGAGGCATACCTCATCGTGCATGGACCCATATGTGAATATGAGTGTGTGTGTGTAAAGGTAAAGAGACCCCTTGGGTAAGTGTTCCAAACTCTACAAGTGTGGTATTCCTCTTTTTTTTTTTTGGAGAGGTTTTTGCCATAGGGCGTGTGCGCTTGCCAGACAGAGCGAGATACGGAGAGACAGAAAGCAAGAAATCACTCCCCAGAGGGGATGGCCATGCTGCAATCCCTTCTCCTCCATTCTCCTCTCGGGATCTTGGGCACATACGCACGCATACCCGGCGTGAGTTTTAAGCCACCGGGTCCGGGACTCGAACCACGGTCAACCACATGGGAGTCCGGCAACATAGCCATTACACTAATTGCTGGTCCCGCTATTCCTCATTTTTAAAGTGGGAGTGTGATGGTGTTTGTGGAAGGGTTGAATCAGGCAAGGTACACAAAAGCACTTCAGCAGTTTTCCTGTATGTAGTAGCATTCAGTGGGACAGGGAAGGCAGGCAGGGAAGCCAGGCTAGAATGTGAGTTAACCAGATTCGGCTTTTACTGTCATAAAGACACATAACCTCTCCTCTCTCTCATTTTTTTTTAAGAGAGATTTTTGCTATGGGGCATGAGTGCTTGCCAGAGCAACAGAGAGTGAGAGAGAGACATGAGAAATCATCTCCCCCACCCTTCCTGGGGGAACCTCCCTGCCACAATCCCTTCTCCTTCATTCTCCTTTCAGGATTTTGGGCATGCATGCTACATGTCCAACATGAATTTCAAGTCTCTGGGCCCAGAACTGGAACTATGGTAGGCCAGGTGGGAGTCCAGCACCTTAACTTCCATGCCACCTGCTGACTCCCATGCAGCCTCTCTTCTCTTAACATTCAGGTCTTGCCATCTCCACCCAAGGGGTGATCCTTTCTTTGTGTCTCTCTGTTTCTCTCTCTCTACCAAGTGCACATGCCCTACAGCAAAAGTGTCTCAAAAAAATAAAAATAATAAACTCAGGTCCTAGAAACCTTAACAGCTCCTTGGACAAAGCCCTTTCACCTCCATAGGCGCTATGTCACCTACAAGTCAGCTCCTTCTGCCCCTGCCCCTAGTTTAACCTTTCAAAATATAACTTTTGACCTTGTTTTTATGTTAAAAAAAAAAAAAAAAAAAAGATCTTGGCTTCCCCCTCAGAATGCCTGAAATATTAGGTGTGTAGATGAAACCTTGCTTTCTCCCTCTGTTATTCCCATGTTTCAGCTTCAGACGTAGAAAGGCTTCTCAGGATCTCACACAATTTCCAAGGGTCTAGGTTCCACTAGGTCTCTTTGAGGATTGTTGTGGATTCTCCCCATCCCTTTCCTATTAAAACTGAGCTTTCCTAACTTCAGGGTATATTTGTTCTTTTTTTTACCTTATCATTTATTGTTAGTGCAAATGATTCTTTCCCTGCTCTGTTCTGTTAAAAAATCTTTATAGAGTCATTTTATGCCCTTGTAAACCACAATCTTGTTTTTTAGGGTGCTCCCCTGAGACTACACATATTTCATTCCTTTCATCTTTCCTCATAGGGCAGTCCTTCAGAACCCCTTATTACCATAGTTGCCCTTTTTGCTTTGACAAAAATATAAGACTAGGGAGCTGCAAATCTTGTTCTCCTGCCTATTTAAACAGCGTCTGGAGATCTGACATAATTACCTCCTAACTTATTTTTAAAATTTTTAAAAAGTTGTGTTTATTATACTAATTTTGTGGAGTTGAAAGCTCTAGGTCTACAGTAGTTGAAAGACTCAAATCCTAAGGTTTTGAAAAAGTCACTCGGAGCTGACCACCATCAACATACAAGGCTGACAGTGTCATTTCAAATTCTCAACATTAACATAGATGCCCAAGGAAAAGAAAAACAGCTTCATAGGGCTCTACATAAAGGGTTTACCCTTAGCTGTCCATGCAGCAATATAGAGCAAGCAATTCATATTTGAGACTTATCATATGACAGTTATCTTCAGTAATGATATAATTTGCCATTTCAAGAATGAGAAGTTTCACTATATACGTTTGCCATCCTAGCAAAGGGAGGGAGGGAAGCAAACAATGGTGGGAATACTTTAACAGGTTCTCTCTTTAGAAGTAAGCGAGCATGAACCACCAGCTTGTTTTAGATGACACAGTCCAAATGGCTTATCTTCATCCTTTAAAGGAGATTCATCATTTTTCTTCTTGCATTTAGCCTCTTCCATATTATAAGTTTAAAAATGTGCATTAACTTAGCATTTGATTTTAATGTCACCTTAAAATTCTGATTTATTCCTATACCTCCCAAATGTGTTTTAACCTTCCTGAAAGAATTCACATTTGTATCACATATAGAGAGCTTAAAGGATGCGATTCTATGACATATACAGCTTAAAAGAGATGATTCTCTATCAAGATTCAGTATTAGCTAACCATGGAAAACATTGGTTAAAGACACATAAACCCACATGCATATGTAACATTTCCTTTTTTATTTGATGATTTACTATGTTAATTTATTTTTGTGAGAACACTGGACAACATGCTATAAAAAATTCTGGCGTTAAAAAGTATGAGAAGCAATGAGCTAGCAAAAAAAATGGCGAGGGGGGTGGAATTCAGCTTTTAAAGTTGCACTTAGTGCAATTAGAATGAGAATTGACCAACTATCAGTAAATTTGGTGTTTTCTGTCAGTGGATTCAATTAATTATTTTATCTTACTTTCTGTCATTTCAGAATGTGTACATGGAATGAGTACTTCTAGAGATGTTCACGGTATGTTAGATTCCAAACTTTTTTAAATAAAATATGTACATTCATATATGCATGTTATTTTATCATTGTATCTATATATAACATACATAATTCAACCAAATAACTAAAGCACTTTTTTTGCTGATTCAAATACACTTGAAAGTAGTTTTCCATATTGTAGATGTCATACCATGTAAAATATCCCAATGAAACCTTAAATGATACCTTCAGTGCTACAGCATTTACCACGGGTGCATTCTGCTGTTATTAAATGACGCTATACGAGTCTCTAAAAAATAGAGCTTGGCTTCTATCTGTTTAACCCAGTTTATGACTTCTCTTATGGCAATGGTAATTCACAATTTTTTATGAGAGTAAAATGTTTACTAAGCATCCCCAAATTTTTTTAAAAAGATGGATTTATTTTTTTCAGTTTGCCACTTGGGAAGTGCAAAACTGACTTGTGAAAGTTAAAGTGAAATAATCACACACTAACCACAGCCTTCCATGAAAGCATTCATATGGAGGAAGAACTAAGCCATCTTTCCTCCTGGTAATTAGATTTCAAAAGTTAAATAATCCCAAAGCCACTTCAGAGGGAAAAATATTTAATTAAATTCCCAAGTTCAAAACTGGACAGTGTACATAGCAGGTTATTTGTACCTTCGTTACTTTTCACCAGAATTGGTCTCTTTTTCTGTAATATTAGAACCAACTGCAGCAACCTGGTACAGAACCAATAGCAATGCACATTCTCTAACATTTTAAAAAAGTACACGGTCATTTAAAATAGAAATAATCTTTTAAGAATTTTTTTACAGTTTTAGAAATGTGATTTGGAAATATATTATTCACAAATCAAGAGTAGTTTTGATGTAGTTGTTCAGATTCCAATCCCATCTTTATGCTTATTTTACTTTTCAGAGGGTTTTTAAGAGCAAAAATGTAAAATAGGTCTTTTCTGAGACCACCTATCGGTATTTACCTAAAGTTACACCAGAAAAGCGTCAGTTAACTGTTATTGTTTTCCACTGAAATTGCTGCTTTTCTTCCAACTAACTGAAGACTGCTTTTAAATTCACTGTGGAAACTTAGCATTTCATTCCTGTTATGAGTCTTTTTCAAATTTCCACCCATTTCGTGAAACAAATTTAGAAGAATCTATTACATAGCATTCTTCCAACACATTGCTTCGTTGTATTTTTCATTTTTGTATTATGACAAAAGTAAATTTTAGTATTATTCCAGGGGAACGCTAGGAGTGATCGTGGTGCACGTTTCCTTTCCCTCGCTATTAGAGAGGAAAAGGAAGAGAAATTCTACATTGTCGCTGAAATGTACGCTCTGAGTGGAAAGGAATTCCTCATTTCGTACCCGGTGTTACTGGACTTGGTAAAAAGTCCTTCAGACTGAGGGGTTCCCGGGGCCCCTCAATCGAGTCCTGCTACTTGCTTTCCACATTTTAGTTCCTCAATGAGGAGTCAGGCACAGATTTCTTGTTTGTTTCTGGTTTTCAAACGTGCTTCCCGCAGCGCGGTTAAAACCCGCACAGGTCCCGGGAAGCTCAAATGCCCGGCGGCGGGTTCTAGGATAAAGAAACAACAGCTTTCCTTCCTATTGTCAACGTTGCCGGGCTTCGAACTCACGATTTAGCCGTAAAACTCTTAACTGAGCAGCGCCCAGGATGCTGTCCTTGAAAGCTAAACTAGTGCACCTACTGTTGTAACTTCCCTCACTTGGAAAGGGAACTTGGACCCCTTGAGAGTCCGACTTGCCGCCCTGGTCAGGATCTAGGGTTTTAGGCACATAGCGGCAGCCCCGAGGAGCTTCCTTTGACCCTTTCGAGGAGCGCACCACCGAAGTCAGCTATTGGAGCCAAAGCTTACTTTTGCCTCCGTTGCACTCTCATGCTCCATCCCCGTCCGAGGGGTTCCTAGGGATGCACTGGGTGGTGGCCCCAGGGGTCTTTCTTTAGTCAGCTCTTAGAAAAATGACTTTGAGTCTATTGGAAAAGGTTTCATTTGCTCTGAATTCTCTAGAGCGGGAAGCATCCGTGCCCGGATATAGAGAAAGCGACAGGCGTAGGTGGTAACGACGCAGTCTGGCATCACTCTGCCCAGGTGGTCCTGAGTCAGAACGCAGACGTCTGGGCTTTTCGTAATCTTTTTTTTTTTTTTTAAGGGAAAACACGTACTCCTGAGTCAGAACGCAGACGTCTGGGCTTTTTACGCCTGAAAAGGAGGCTTCTTCGTAATCTTTTTTTTTAAGGGAAAACACGTATAAGTTTTATTCCCAAGACCCCAAACCCATTAAAATAAAATAAAAAAATGCAGATGGGTGCTGGCCATGTTCCGCGTGCTCCGGCGCGAGCAAAGTCGGGGGACCAGCCCACCTCCGGGAGAAGCGCGGAAGGCAGGAGGAAACCGAAGGAGGAAGGCGGGCCTGGAGTGGGCACGCCCTGACCGGTGCGCCCAGGTCCTCTGGCGCACTGATGGACCTGGGTGGGCAGATGGCAGTGTCTAGCAAAGGGGCTTCCGGAATGGACCTCAACTCGGTAGGTCCCGGGAT